CTTTTACTCTCGGTTTTTGTAGATTTTCGATTAATCCTGATAAACTGATGGTGACTGAGGCTATTTTAATTGACTTTGCCTTCTCATTTGCTTCTTGCAAAGTACTATGTTAATATTAACAGCTTAAAGAACTATTTTCTCTTGTTTAAAAATGTACCTGCAAATATGTTGGTACTCATCCAATCGCTGTACATCACCTTTCACATTGTTTAACTGACAGTAGAGGTTTTGCTTAAGTCCTATAGCATAAAACACGGCTATGTTCCCATGGGGATTTACAGTTAATACAAATCACTTCTCCACTCACCAGAAATTATTTACCGAACACTGAATGAGAAACACAAATCATCACCGCCATGATGGATCGCACACTTCTCTAAGCACGAAGCAGCGATACATCTAACTCACAGTCAGGAGGGATGAGTGATGTTCACCTCTTGTTTTCTGCATAAACTACAACAAATGTGTTTTTTTACAGCATTGGCACACATTTCTCATCCACCCATCCACACCCTCTGAGCTCTGCCTCCCCTGTGATGGTTTCTGGCTGAGGTTAGGCTGTACTTTTAAAGTGGCTGGGATTTACATCAGAATGGAAGTGTATGAGGGCTCTGAGGCATGAGCGGAGTCACCGAGAAGTTAGATCCACAGCCGGGGCTCTCGCAGGAGATAAACGGGACAAGAACACAGTTTTCAAAGACGCTTCTGTGAACAGAGTAAGCAATTCTGAGGGAAGAAATCAACAAAACACTTGAGATGTTTCATCCCCTATTCATCCAGAGAGTGCAAAGAGCGGCCATGAAATGCGAAATGCAATATAGCTTCTCATTTTTTTTATATTGTGTGTGTGTGTGTGTGTGTGTTAGAGAAAGAGAGGGGTAGAGAAAGGCCTCTTAGTCACCAAATGCTTTTTTCTAAGAGCTACATTAGATTAGAAAGCCTGGCTAAGTGCTTTTCATTGCAGGAGGATCCTTACAAAGTTTTTTTCAGCCCGAACTCTCTCCTACGGCTCAAGTGACCAAGTGCATAAAGATGGACGCTTCCTGGGTTTGGGTTGCATTGCCCTCCCGCTTCACAGTGCAATTTCATTTAGGCTGGAATCCACGACTGAGAGCTTCATAACATGACTTCATTTCCTGGAAAATAAAAATGTTAAGATGCTTTCAGCATCTTACATGACTATGTGTACGTGGAAGGGGCAGCTGTTTGCTCACTGTTTTGGTTTTCTGGCCCGTAACTTTATACTGTTTTCGTCTGGCGGCAACCTCCGTCATTGAAAAGGGAAGCTAACGCAGAAGAGCCTTAAACTTGCATTCTTTCTAATGGCCATCAGGGGGCGACTCCTGTATTTAAGTCGAAGAGAAAATGACCCAACTTCTCTCTCGATTCACTACCTCAGTAAACATTGTAAACATGAGTTTCATTTAGTGAGTTATGATCCCCATTTACAATGAAATAGATCATAAAGCAATGTGTTTTCAGTTCATGAAAGATAATCCTAACACGTTAAAAATGTCTTGAGAGTATTAGTAGGTTTAATCAGGTGTAGCAGGCAGTGTATTCAACATGGGAGTGCTGCTCCCTTCATACTGCCGAACCCTGGAGTCATAACTCAGGTCTCAAAAACAACATTAGAAATACACAATATATTATAGCCTAGATATGGGTATCTAAGGGAAATGATCATTTCATTAGTTTCATTACTATGGGGAGGATCTGTGCAGATGTAAATGGTTGGCTATCAAAGCTAATGGATATCGGGAAGTTGTGTAATGGAGAAGGATGAGTGGGCGGACTCCAGTGAAAGAGATGTGGTAATTAGCAAAAGCAATTCACCAATTTGAGCTGAATGCAAGGGTTGAGCTCCTTAAATGCTTTGCTTGACATTCGTGTGAATGAAGACAACGCAGGAAGTAAAGCCCACTCGCAGAGCACTAACATACATTTTCAGAGCAAGGCCAAATTCTTCTCATAGCATGGTAATAAAGGAGAAGAGACGCTCCACAGCCTTAAATCTGTCCCCTCGGTACAAACCACGACTGCTGGGAACAAAACAGGGGAAACAGAGGGTGCGAACACACTTTTATTTTTCTTCTCAAACCATTGTGAGAAGGTTCGCTTTGTCTCTTTTTGTGGATTCCTTTATGTGCACACGGAACAATTACCACCTAGCCAGAAGCGCACTCACAGCACTTGTAGGACAAAGTTTTAGTTATGTGTCTCCTCATAATAAAATTGGCATTTTGGGAGGGTGGCACTTTGTTTTTATTTACTGTCTCTGGTGTTCATGGCGGTTAAGAAGATGCAAATAAGTGGCAGATTGTGGTTTGCCTCCCTTCATTGTGTTATCCTAGGTTTGCCAAGAATGACACAGCCACCTCATTATACTGATAAACCCTTGCGTTTTGGGGTTTGCCCACTTAGTTTGGGTTCTCACTTCTAATGAACCACCACCACCTAATGTTCTCTTGGAGGAGGAGTGATGCTCACTATGTCAGGCACTCCTGGGTGCCTAATTGGTGCCACGATGACACCTTTTCAGCTGTCCAGAGTTTGAAACATATAATCACTCCCGTTGCTCTTCTGATTCAGATCATTAAAGCTGCGGTTTCATACAGGCGTATAATGACAGATGACACTTAATTGGAGATAAAATGAGACTATGTCTAAGCTGGTTTTGGTTCAGCTTTCACCCGTTTTGTTTTCCTGATTGATTTTCCCTTTGAAGCTTACGCACTTCATGCTAACACCCCCAGCCTGCTGATGAAGATATATCTTTGACAGAGGGAGAAGCGGTGAGGCTCTTCTGTAATCACACACTGGTCTGCTGATGTCGTTCAGGGGTTGAATTAGTGGAGCCAGATCTCCGAGGCTTTCTGAAGTCTCAGAGGCAAAGGTGGACATGAAAAGGCTCGGGGGGAAGACATCGTAGGCTTTAATACGCTTTTTTTGTGCTCCACTTGTCACAGACTGCGACAGCATGTGTAGTAAGTGGGTACAAAAGCCCGAGTCAGCAATACTTCTCTTCCATGGAGATGAAAGCTGAATGCAGCAACAAGTGGATGTGCTCCGCTCTCACTTTCAGACCTAATTAGAGACTTTAGGTTACGAGTATCATTGTTTTTATTTAGACCTTCTCAAGCTTTGGAATATTATTGGCCATGTTTGTTTTTATTCGTTTTGTTTGTACGGTGCTTGCTTTAACCAGATTCAGATTCTTTGGAGTAAACTGAATCTTGGAAAATACACTTACTTACTTCCTTGTTAAGACTGAAATAAAAAGATGTCTGTACGTTGAGCTGGAGTCAGGACATTTTTACACGTAGAGACTTGTCTGTCTCTGACTTTTTTGTGACTTTTCTTCAAAAAAAAGAACCTAGCAACAAATCTAGCAAATTCTAGGGCCGACATTAGCTTCTCTTGACGACGCCAACCAGAAACGTGAATCAACATTAATCCCCATTGATTGCCTGGAGAACTCTTCGTCCTTTAATAGTACCTAACCCATAGGTGCTATTAAGTTTCTGTCCATGTTGACTAAACAAATAAGATTTAACGTGTTAATTAGATCGTTGATATAGAAGGATTTTTTTCAGCTTTGGACGGAGCAAGATTAGCAGTTTCCTTCTGTTTCCAGTCTTTATGCTAAGCTAAGCTAACCATGGCCTAGCTCCATTAACGTATACAGAGATGAGATTTATATCGATCTTCTCATCTAACTCTCAGAAAGCAAATGAAATGAAGTCATTTCCCAAATGTTGAATTTTAAATTTCCCCTTCAGGAGTAATCTGTGTTGTCTTGTTGTTCATGATAAACTGTTTCAGCAGATCTTTGGACTGTAACATCAAAGATGCTTTCTAAAATGCCATGCAACATCTACATAACAGTTAAAAAGCATCGATGAAGCTTCTAAGTGAACACGGCACTCAATATAAATATCATTTATTTCCATTAAAGCTCCCAATTTGTTTACTGGTCAGCTGGTCTGGATATGGTTTGGGTAAACAAGCCTTTAACTGTATGGATTAAGACTGCATGGCTATAATTTGCATAATCATCATGTTATATAACAATAATGAGCTTATTTAACATTCATTTCGTATTCATTTTTTGGAAGCAGGTCGAGTAAAATCAACTACATGGGGAGAATACCTGTGGGATACTGCAAACACTGAACTGAAATCCAAAACCAGAACAGACGATTCATTTAATTAAAGATATGTAAATATACATATAGCCGTTTTCCATGTTGTGTATATGTCAATTACTGCCTGCGATGGGGAGAACTTGGATCTTGTGTTGCTATGAAGGCATTTCTGCTCCAGGAACATTGAGGGGAGCAACGCAATAATCTGGTATTAAGTGAACGGATCTTCTGTGTCCCTGAGCTTTCGCCTCTGTCTCTGTCACAATGATTTACAATAAAGCCCAGGAAGACTCTGTATGTGGGCTGCTGCATCAACATAATCTCAATTCTACTGTAGCAGCTGTGAAGCGCTCACATCCCCAAGGCTGTTAGGAATAAAAAGGAATCCTCAGTGCGAGGTTCCTTAAGTTTATAGTTATGTGTGTGTGCGGTGTTTGTTCATCGTGAAAATCTGTTCAGCATGTGATGGCTTTAGCATTTGTATAGCTGTTTATTTATTTATTTATTTATGTCTATTTTACTCTGTGGGAAAACCAATATTTGATATCACATTGCTGTTTGTTTTTTACTTTCTAAAATTGTGAATTTGATACTGTCCTCAAAAAAAAACAAATTGAGAGATGCCTCTCTTTTCAATGGTGGCTAAATGATTTGGATGCTGAGTGCTGCAGCTTCTGCCGAGCTGAATCATTCCAGTCCAATAATTGTCAGGACTTCATTCCAGAAACGAAATATGGGGAAGCAGATATGAGTTTGGACTTTTGGGATAATTTAAAATGGATTTGTGAGTAAGAAGGGCAAGGCAAAAAGTAATTACAGAAGTTGATTATTGAAGAGACGGAGTGAACTCACCCTCTCCTCCTCCTCTCTGAGGTCTGGCATGGTGCTGACACACAGCGTCACTGCGGTGATGGCTACAAATATCACAGACAGACAGGCGAAGATCTTCCCCGGCAGGCCGGATTGGGGGTTCTCCACCATGTCCCTCAGTCTTAGCATGCAGCCCCCCGTCTGGACCTCTTCCTGCGGCCCTGCAGGAGGCTGCGGGCTCTCCTCGCAGGACTGCGGCGAGGTGAGCTCGGCCTCCTCCTCCTCCAACCTCTGCAGCTCCTTGTACTCCTCCTGCCTGAGCCGCAGCTTCCTGAGGCAGCACCAGTCCAGGTTGTTCTCCTCCACCCCCCAGTACAGCAGCTCCTCCTGGAAGGACAGAGCGCACATCTCCCTGAGCAGCCGCAGCTTCCCCGCCGCCAAGAAAGAGACGATTGTGCGGAAAGCCGACGGGCTTCGGTCGAAGAAGTACTCGTTGCGGCTGCCGTCGTAGTCGTCGCACAAGTCCATGATCTCGGCCTCGTTGCTGCAGCTGCGCAGCTTGCCCAGTCTTGTCAGAGGGAACTCCTCCAGCGTGGACCAGGGGATGCGGTACTTGATCCCCCCCACATTGATGATGGCCGCCTCGTCAGTTAGGCCGATCTCGTCCCCATCCTGTTGGCGGGGCTGAGGCTGGAGCAGCAGCTGGGCTCGCTTGTAGAACAAGCCCTTTTTGCTTTCGACCTCCCGCGTGTTCTCCACAGGCTTGAAGTGGAAGGGGGTGAACTGGTGATCAGTGCTTCCCGCCAGGAAGGCCACCTCCTGGTACATCACTGCCACTTCGCTGGGGGACCCTGCCCTGCACAACCAGATGGGACGGGGGCTTCACAGGGTTGATGAGGTGACAGGGAGCTTGTCACCCATTCAGCAACACAGCATGTCTCTGTAGGACAAAAAAGATGAGTCAACAATTACATGTATTTTGTGTATTTACACACTTTTTGTGTCATTAGATGTGGTCCTACAACGCGTACACACTATTTTGAACACTAGTAGTTTCGTATCTTCAGGATATGAGAGGAAACCCAGTCCAACCAATTAAGAACATGTAGTCCTAACAAAGGACAGATATATCAGTAAACTCTATGAAAGTGTTCCACAGAGTCCTACTTTTCTTGTTGGACTGTAAATAGAACACAGAAATAATGTGGCAGACAACCCACGAGTCAAAACACTCTGGACTCCAATCGCAATGAAAGATCAAATAAAAGCAACTAGATGCCAAGTTGCAGCCTGAACCCAACGCTGAGAAATTAATAACGTTGTTTTTCTTTTTACTACACCAGGCTCTAGAATAAGACAATTTAGAGTTGTCTGTGGTGAATCAACATCACAATGTAGACTTTCACAAAGTGCAATGAGGGAAAGTATCACCTTAATGCACCTGACTTGAGGGAATCAAAAGTGCAGAAATGCTAACTCATTCCCAGGTTTTAGGACTATTTCTTGTGTACTCTCTATAGAATGTCATAAAACGTTAGAGTTTAGTATGCCACTAAATAGTCATAAAAAGTCGTAGTATATCACGCAAAGAAATGTTCAATCATAAAAGCTGATGACCAAGCAAAAAAGGCCACTTACAAGTTTTTGACTCCACCAAGACAGAGATGTCCAACTGGCTTGTGTTTTTGCTGAATCAGCCTAATCTCATCCCTCTCTGATCAAAAAAAAGGTATTCAGATTAAAGTTCACATTTCTGAATCCATGGTGTCCTAACAAGCTGAGACTCTTGTTACATTTAATATCGGCTTCTAAGCACAGGCTGCAGCAACAGGCCAGCGATCCTTTACTCACCGAGGATGGCTGTACTGGACCCGAGGCAGCGGAGCTGATGTTGGGAGGACGGGCACATCATCACAACAAATTAAGAGTGGGACCCCTCTAGCTATCCTCCGAGTTTGTGCTTCTATTGTGAGGCCAATCATTTTTGAAACAGGCCGCTTTTCTCCGAGGGAAGGGGGGGTTCGGAGAGCTGCACCTCTACAGCGACTCAGCAAAGTGCTTCTGACAGGAGCAGTTTATTGAGCATGACACTGCACCCAGGGGTGGCTTCAAGGAGCACAAAAAGAAAGTCATATAGGAGGAGCGCCATGTCAAACACGGCTTATTGAATCATGGGAATTTTATATTTAGAAATGCAGGATTAAGGCACTAGCAGTGGGATTGTGGTCTAAAAAGTATATTTAGTTTAAAATATACGTAGTTTGCTTTTTCACTTTCTCGCTGAGAGTTAGACAAGAAAACCTAAACTCCAGCCAGTAGTTGGTTAGCTTAGCTTAGCATAAGACTGTACACAGAGGGAAAACGCTAACCTGGCTCTGTCCAAAGGTGACATAACACGCCTACCAGATCTACTAAAGCTAACTAACACCTTATATCCTGTTTGTTAAATCCATAAAAAAAAACAAGTATTTAAAACGACAAGTTGCTTCTCAGTCTATTTAATTTGATGGATTTCAAGCAGTAACCAGCATTTCTCAAGAAACATTAGTTTGTCCTTTACTAATCTTGCATTCCTTGAGATCTGTATTTGCCTTTAAAATCAAATCAGCAAATCAGAGAAAATCAAATACAAGCCAAGCTTTGACACACAAATGTCTTTTTCTAATTTGATAGACCAGGCCACTCATGCAACACTTTACTTATTAAGTGGGATTTTGAGTAAAAAAAAGTTCCTTTCCAATTACATCCCTCTCATCCTCATTAGGCAGGGTGAGTGAAGCATATTCATGTTTCCTTTCATCCTCTACACAAAATATTTTTGCCAGAGAGCTGAGAGCCTGAACGCTCTGTGCTGGTGTTTCAGACGCTGGATCTGAGACAAAATAGTCAATAAAAAAAACATTCCTTCAACAATGCTTTCAAGAAATACTTCCAAGGTGGATTTATCTCTTTCCTTTTGTCAGGAATAGTACGTAAACAAAATGTGGCGTACTTATAAACTCTGCTTTGTTCTTTCGCCACCTGTTGCTCATACAAATATAATTGAAATGCCTCTTTGCATAAATCTTCAATTCGTGCATCACTGACACATCAGCCTTCCCACATCCCCTCAGTCTTCATCTTTGTAAAAGGCTTGAAGCAGAAGTCTTCTTGTGGCACATAGAGATCCTGAAGGACACTGAACCATCGCCTGACCTGCTCCTGAATCAGACTGATTGGTCCTCCTCAGAGCGTCTTTTTGCCAGTGACAAGTCTGCGCTCAAAAGTACGAGGACAATTAAGTGTCTTGCTTGCAGGAGCAGCGCAGCAATCAGCCGAGAGAAAGCGATTTCACAGTCTAGAATGACGCAAAACGTCTCCCTCCAACTGCAATAATCATGGAAAGAGTACTTCTCACAACATAATCACATGCGTAAGAGTCTGAGGGGCAGAGATGAAGAGCACCTTTTAGAGTCTGAGTCACAGGAAGTGATGGTTATGTGGACCAGCTGGGGTTTGTGTCATAAAAAAAAAGATGCTTCATAATAAGAAATGGCAAAACATCATGTATCATAAATGGGCTAAATGGGTTGATACAAGTCGACAAGTCTTTCTATACCTAAAGTCTTAATATTTACTTGAACTCTTAAAGGGACGGTTCAACCCATAATCAAAAACACATATTTTCCCTCTTACCTTTAATGCTATTTATCAATCTAGCTTGTTTTGGTGTGAGTTGCCTGTAGTTTTGGAGGTATCGGCCATAGAGCAATCTACCGTCCCCCAAATATAATGTAACTATATCAATCGGCTTGTCGTGCATAAAGTGCCGATAAAAATACATGTGAAAAAGGAAACAGCAGTGTCTTTTTCCAGAAATCCTGACCCGGTTACTCAAGATAGTCCACAGACCTTGTTTTGAGCAGTTTGGTGTCGGAACTGTGGTTGAAAGAAAATAGTTCCTACATGACCCTGCACACAGAAGGCCGACATCTCTACGGCCGATATCTTCAAAACTAGGCAACTCGCACCAAAACAATCTAGAATTGCTGACTTGTTTGTGTTGAATATATCTTCTTGTTAATCATGAACTGTCCTAACAAGTTGTGGGAACTTCCTGAAATGTAATTGGCTCCTATCGTACAAAGGAACCACTGGCTTCCTTCCCCAGTTTTTCTGGGAAAAGTTGTCCCACTCACTTTTCTGTCGGCCCACCCAACACACAATATCTGCCTCCGTAACTGCTGGAGACTTCAGAACTTAACAGCCAGTCTCTCCCACTTTACATATTGCTGTTCAGAACCTCCAGAAGTAGCGTGACGATCTCAAATTGAAAAAATTAAACCTGGCGCTTTTGAGCCTGACAGTCAGTGTCAATCACTTGATTGAAAAAGCTGGATTTAACAAAGTGTGAGACAGGGAGGAGGAGATAATGGGCTGAATAAATTGCTGGAAGGGAAAGGATCTATGTGATGGTGAGCCTGAAGCCGGAGAGAATGTGATGTCTGGAGTGGAAGCACAGTTGCAACAAACACATGAAGAATGTGGCACATCTGCAGTCTCTCTCCACTTTTCTCTATTTCACAGTCTTATTATGTGTCTTTGCAAAAAAACAGTAAGTGCAGCGGTGTCTTTCTATCTTGAGCAGCTTCCCCCATCAGCTCACCTTCAGCTACAGAGCAGGAGGGCTAATTAGAGAGATGAGCTGCTGGAGTGTTTTGGTCGCAGGGCGAAAATGACGTTTGAAAAAACCCCAAAACACAGCGATACAGAACAGACTGCCATGTTCTACGTAATCTGTTCTCATTAGTTTGTCCTCTCTTGTTTCAAGGGCCCACCGGTGCAGTGCTTTGGCCCCGATTTACTGCGAAGGAGAGCATTCGTCTCCACACACCAACAGGTTAATGACCCCGGCACAAGGAAGGGGCATGTTTATATGGACAATCCATACAAGAAAGAGAGAGGGGACATTTCTCTAAGAATCATTTAAAAGCCACTCATTAAGGGAAAACTCATCCACTTAAATACTGACAGGTAAATCCAGTTATCCATGGACTATGCTCTGGAAAGGTATACGTTTTTGTCTGATGAGGAAGCAGCACAACAGGACTGCTCTCCTACAAATTTGAAGAAGAACAGTGTTGGGAGTAAAACACAAACATGTGATGACAGGAGCACATTTAACATGTGAGGAGAAATCCCTTCAATGTCAGGGAGCTGCCTATAGTAAGCCTACCCGTTGTAGGAAACGTGTAATAATATACCAGGAGGAGATGAATTAAGTACGAGGAGGACATGTGTGGAAGCACTCAGAGTCCATTCAAGCACATGTTTGGGTTATTATACCATGAGGACATCATGGAAGCAGTAATTGAGAATAATTAGCCCCTTTGGCCCCTTCACAACACCCTAAAGGGAAACCAGTGGGTTATTACAATGACATGGAAGAAGTTTGTCACATGTATGAAAACAGGCTGCTTCTGTTATAGCAGAGGTGTGTGATCAAAGTCTGATTGGGTCAAGTGTTCTCCTCTGTATGGCTCCAAACGCATTTGACAATTTCGACCCATTTGTGGGGTTATTAAAAACAAAAAAACAACCACTAATGTCGTAAAAAAAAGAAGTAAATCCTAAATGCCAGACTTACCCAGTGTGTAGTTGAGCTCGTGCCCATGTGTTTCAGTCGGCTCGCACGTTCGCAGCCCTCAATGTGCAGCATGCCTTTAAGTTTTCCACGCAGATGTTCTGGGACATTGTAGTAGCTACAATTCACGCTGCGCTCGATTTTTCCACGGAGTTTTTGCGGCTTCTTAAAAGTCGCCGTTCAAACGTCCAGAATAGATCCGCGGAGATCCCACAACACCGCTTCGGTCCGCGGGAGACGCCAAAGAGGTACACAGACGCGTTACTCCACATCAACAAACACTCCGCCAGTCTGCTCCGCTCTCCATCGGAGACGACGCGGCAGATGTTGCAGAGCAGACTGTGTGTGTGCGCGTGTGTGTATGTTTGTGTGTGTGGCTCGCGGCAGCTGAAAGACTGATGATGGTCACACCGCTCTGACTGTTCAGGTGCGTCCGGAGCTGCGCGCTCCGCGGTGCGCTGCGCTCAACTGCGTCTCTGGGAAACCACGCATGCTGCAAGTCCAACCCGACAGCGTCAGGGGGGAGGGGGAGTGTTTGTTATGTATTTCATCTCACTGTTATGACATAAGTATGGACTCTAATTATGTTAAATATATTTCTGGTAAGTTTATCAGTGACATATATGATAAGATTTGCCGGGAATGCTATTTTATTTAGATATAGACTACACTTTATTTCTATAACACTTTGCTCATCACATTTGCTCGTATTTTCCCAAGCAGGGAAAAACATCAGTGGACATAAAGTCAGAGTCAGACGCAGCTCGTACAGTAGGTGTGGCTTTGCTGAAAGCCTGTCTTACTGGCTCGAGCTTCTCTTACATTTCTGTCAACACGACGTCAGCTTAACTCAAAATGAGAGACGGCAGAGAGACAATGATCTGGAGTCTGATTGATGCCAAAGTAAACAGTGGTGATGGCAGTGCACGCATCCATTTACAGGATATCTGCTCGACTAAATGCCATCTAACAGCTCAGGGCGAACAGCTTCAAATGTGGTGACATAAGAAATGACTCTGGCCAGATTTTAAATTGGACGTTTTCACAAGACTGAAAAAAGAATCAAGGACAGGTGGTTGTTTTTATGGGCTGCATGTTAGACCCAGAGGTGCTGCTCAGTTTAACCTCTGACCTCTTCGAAAACAAGAGGATTTCCCTGGGATGAAAAAAAACCTTTTATCAACTAAAATTCTTTAGGATAAAAAATATACTACATCTTCTAAAATCCACAATGAAGGAGGCTTAGTACTCTCACTGACATGTGTTCATGTGTTACTACTTCCCCTTCAAACCCACAAAACTCCCAGTTTGCCCTCCACCTGGGCACGCCTGCTTCTATCGTGTCATAACATTAAGGTCCTTTAAGAAGCACGATTGGACAAAATGATGTAAGGGTCATTAAAATAAGTCAAATAAAGCACCTGCAGCAACCTATGCAGTGTGTAACTGGGCATCTCCCATTAGTTTACATTCATCATCTCAGTAAGCATCGACTTAAAGTGGGCCTATATGCAACGTTTGCTGTGGACGTTCACGGCAAATGCTTCAATGTAGAGAAGAGTCATATTGATGTCATATTGATGTTGACTGAAGCAAACATTAGCCATAAGATATTGTTGGTACCAGACCAAGTGGTCCCTGACTGAAACGAGCAAGGGCGTGTTTTATTAGCTATTCATTCAACTGTACATTTGTAAGATGATGAATGTGTTATTTCCCATTTTAAAAGTCACACATTCTCGGTTTGAATTTGAATAACTGCGGAGCAAGAATCCCCAGTGGTAACCCACTTTAAATGTACTGTTTAGAAATGGTGGCACTGAGTGTTTTATATTTTTTTTTAAATGTACTTTTCTTTGACAGGTCAGTCCTGTCCGGGCTTTAGAGGGGAGCTGCAGAAAGTCTGGACCTCGAAGGCATCCAGGAAGAAAGATGTGGAGTCCTGCAAGGTAAGTGAAAAAATGCCCTTACTCAAATCAAAAATGATGAGATGGCTTTGGGGAGAAAAGACCATAAAGATTTGATAATAAGAGATGCTTTAAATTTGGGGAAAGTTAATTGGACTTTTTAATGGAGCGGGAAAACTCGCACAGCCAGCGAAAAAAAGAAACCCTTTAGATGTCCCCTCGAGGAGTTATGAACTCGGCAAGTCCACTCCTCTCTTTGTTTGTGTCTCTGACTTTAGTTGGTGTGTTTCTACAGTTAGTTCTGAGCTCACATCAAGGTAGGAGATCCTCCCGGGCCCCTTTTGTCTGCAGACAGACATTATTAATCTGCCATCCGTTCCCTTGTATTCATCTCTCTCTCTCACGAGCCAGACTCTTCCTGTCCCAGTGTGTGTGTGTGTGTGTGTGTGCTATTCAAGGTGTTTTCAGTTCACGCCACTTGATGAAAAGAAAATGGAATTTTGTTGTTGTGCAAAATCATATTTAATTTATCCGTTCTGAGTCAGGCAGCTATTTTAGGTTTTCATCCGTGACATGCAAAGCTTGCGTCGGCTCGTCATGAAAGAAAAACAAAAAAGGAGTTTACAGCAAGAGAGATAAGTAACCACGAGTTCCACTGATACAGCTATTAGCCGCTCTCCACCAACGCCTGACATTGATGAATTACAATGCTCCGAATATGCTGCATCAGCCATGTGGGTACATATTAGACTTTGACCCCCCCCCCCCCTTACCTCTGCACGAAGATGAAGTGACTGGACCGCAAGTAACGTGTTGCTAAACCTGAGAATATGGTTACAACATGCTTCCAGCCTTGTGCACGTCTCAGGCCTGAAACTGTCCTGGAAGCAAAAATATGAAATAAAAGGCCTCGTTTTCTCCACACAAAGCGGTGGGAGGAATTGTTTGCAGTTGCTTAATGATGCATGCACCACCTAATGTACGCCAAAATAGACATCCCTTGGTCTTTAGGGATCATTAGCCATGTTTTTATTTCAGGGCCATAGTGGTACAAACCTGTCATGTTCCAAATGAAGTATTCAACGATGTAAAAGCAGATATTGTTTTTCATACAACATAACTGTCAATGTTTAGGCTGGTTAGGTACATTTTGCATTTGCACTTGTGGTACTTTGTACTACCACTTGTATTGGCAAAAGCTGGACATTTCAACCATTAATACATTACTTTTAGCTATTTGACCTATTTCATCATCTATCCATAGCTTTCAGCCTCTATTCTGACCATCTTTCTGTTACTTTTAGCCATCACTTTTAACCATTCATACATTATCTTTAGCTTATTATATCAACATGTTAGCTGTCTATTTGAACCATTTATTCATTATTTTTAGTTACTTTATCAATTTA